GTGAGTACATGCGTGTTTGCTACCTGAGCGGGTCTCTGGAACCAGTGCGGGTCTGTGGGAGTCCGGTGCGGGTCTCTGGAACCAGTGCGGGTCTGTGGGAGTCCGGTGCGGGTCTCTGGAACCAGTGCGGGTCTGTGGGAGTCCGGTGCGGGTCTGTGGGAGTCTTGTGGACTCACTGTTTCAGTCCATTAATGAAGGCTGCTGTGGGTCTCTGTCAGATTCCAGCTGTGGTTCAGTGTGAACCCAGATGTTTCAGATGTGGAGGGTTTGTTTGTTTCTGGTGTTGAAAGTTGGAATCCAGATCTGGGTTATTGTAACAGTTATTATATATATATATATTATGTTAGTCTGTGTTAGAGGAAAGCTGTAGTCAGTAGACCTTTTTCACTGCAGCCAGTAGGGTAAACTCCGCTGTTACTAAGGTTCCATTCAGGTCAACCTGGAAAAGCTCTGCTACACTAAATGGAACAGAGCCTCAATTAGTATCATTAGTTACACCTGTGTTTACCCTACTGTCTTGTGTCAAAATGGCTGCTGTGAAAAAGGTCTCTTCAGAAAGCAGCTGTGGTGAAATCAGCCGATAATCGCTGAGCTTTTATTGTCGGGAATGTGACTGCGGTTGTTTGTAAACACAGAATAAACAAATAAACACAACCAAAACAACAACACAAACACGTACAGTATATAGCTCGCAGTGGCGTCTTCAACCGTCTGTTGAGTTCAACTTTTTAATCTCTAAGCTGACAGTTCGATTCTTTGTTGACGATATTTGAGGGAACCGCGCCGTCTGTCACGTGTTTCTGGCGCCAAATAAACAGACGAGACGTGTGAATGTGTTTGTGGAGCGTTGTTAGATAAACTGTTGGTTCAGTTTAATGGTTCGTCCTCGTCAGCCTGTAGAAACTGTTGCGTAATATCTGCATTATGAATAATAGTAATAATAATGAGCGTCCTGCTTTAACTTTATCTGATCACTCACTTGGTTTCTGACGTCCACATAAAAAGTTTAAATTTACAGTTTGTTTGTGTTTGTTAGCCTAAGCTAGCTAACAAGTTAGCAACAATTTTAGTAGATTGTTTATTGATCTCTGATCGTATCTGTCTCAACATTTTACCTGGAGAACGACTCAAAGCTCTTTCACACATTCACACATTGATGGATGAGCCCCCCCAGAGTCTCAATCCACTTTAACAGAGACTCAACTCAATCTGAGTCCGACTGCAGAGAAACAGGCAGAGTTTAACTGATAATCAGGGATTCTGCTTTGATCTTTCTTGGGTTTTTTAGGAATTTAAAGGCAAACTCAATCCACTATTTTCTCCAGAAAAACAAAATTAAAGATATTTGTGATAAAGCAGATCTTCAATGTTCCAAAAAAATTACCAAATTTTAGACCAAAATTGAAGTTAAGGCCTTTTTACCTTTACAGGGCAGAATATATGAAGGGTTACAACCCGGAGCCAAAAGGCACCGTTCCCTCTGTTGTAATATAATATAATATAATATGATGTAACAGCAGAATGAACTGGAGCTGTTATTTTGAGGAAGAGGAGTTACATAATGCTGCTGGTCCTCAGATGAAGGTCTGACTGTAACAATGTGTCCGGCTGTGATTGAATGCAGCAGCAGGTAATTAACAGGCTGACGCTCTGTGTGTGTTTGCAGAGGTCTGTTTCTCTCTGATGACGCTGTGTAATTAATATCCTCCTCCTTCCTTCCTCCTCTGGAGCTGTTTGCTCTCTGCTCTCCCGGCTGATATCTGTCGGGGGGGCTTGACGCTCGCTCTGTCTGTTGCCAAAATGTCAATCGATAGTTTGTTTGTTTGTTTTTGTTTTTCTCGCGAACGGCTCAAAATCTGCCGTCGGCCCAAAACGGCCTCATCACCTGAAGGGACGAAGATTCAGCTGCTACTCTTCGTCTTTATAATCAGCTCAGTTCATTTATACTGTAACAGTGATGGATCCTATCTGTTTTATTCTTTACTCGAGTAAAAGTACTCTCTTGGTTCCTCTGGAGGATATTTCTACCGGCTGTTTCTCTTCGAAGTGAACTCAAACACATTTCCTGGAAAACCTGGAAATTCAGAGAGCATTTTAATAGTATTTTGACCTCTGCTGCGGCCAAATTAATGTTACGTTTTAGAGTAAAAGCTGTAGCCAATAGACCTTTTTCACAGCAGCCATTTTGACATGAAAAATAGTTGGGTAAAGTGTCACCAGTTAAGGTTCAGTTCCATTCAGGTCAAACAGAGTGAGGCTCACTGGAAGAGGCTCTACTACTCTAAATGGAACAGAGCCCTTATTAGTATCACTGGTTTACCCTACTGTTTGATGTCAGAATGGCTGCTGTGAAAAGGGTCTATTTGGAAAGCGGGGGTGCGCAACAAAAGAGAGTTTCCTATAATTGATGACCACCCTTAACTGAGCAACTTCTGTCCTGTACTGTCACAAAAAACTCCTGGAAAACGATTTCTTAAAAAGAGCGGGAACTCTGACGAGGTCAAAATAAAAAATATATAATAAAATACCAATAATCAATAATTCTCCTCAAATGCATTCAAACTAAAACCTGTTTAGAAACTGAGACGTATAAATTTCAGATATTTCTGTAAAGCTGTCAGAAATATAACAACTGTTACTGTCCACCTCTGTAATAGGTAAGTTTCTCTAACATAACATAAACGTGTGGAAGCAAATAAACTTTTAGGTTTAAAAATGACAAAAAATTAATTATATTTAAGTTAAAATGAAAATTTTGTCTCATTATTTTCTCACACTTTAACATTCTGTCGTCGCTTTCAGCTGAAATCATCACAAAGAACTCTTATTTTGAAGGAGCTGCAGTTAGTCAGGAAGTTCTGCCTCAACTCCCCTTAAAGACCTCCTCTTCCTCTTCCTCTTCCTCTTCCTCTCAGTCTCGTTAACGCTCTCGATCAGACTGACTCATCCCTCGGCTCGTCGCGTGCACCGTGTTTCTCTGTTTGTAACTTCCAATATGGCCGCTCCATATGGACCGCAGGAGTCAGATCACATGTAGAGATCCATCAGCTGATATCACACACACCTATACACACACACACACACACACACACACACACACAGGAAGTGACGGATCAAAACTGTCTCTAACGTATCAGGTGACATCAGCAGCAGGTCGAGGTGAACTGAGGCGATATGACGACTGTGTGTGTGTGTGTGTGTGTGTGTGTGTGTGTGTGTATAGGTGTGTGTGTGTGTATAGGTGTGTGTGTGTGTAAGCTGTTATTTCCTGTTACATTAATGATCAATACATTGACACATTGGAGATGAAGATGAGAACATATCAGACCCGTTGTTGTTGTCTGAGGCTGCACGGTGAATCCAGATGTTACTGTAAAATACAAACATGTGACCATAAATCTCCAGATGTAAGAATGTTTGTCTGATTCAGATCCACAAGTGTGGATGTTAATAAATATCTATATAGTTTATTTTGTTGTATTGATGCTTGTGTTTAAACCTGCAGGGGGGGGGCTCTATGGGCTAAAGTCTGATAGAACCGAGGCTTATGGAGAAATGACCCGACTTTGACAAACAGAATATGAACCTGCGCTGTAAGAACCTTCTACAGGTTGACGGGAACGTTCCTTCCTTTAAAATTATAGTCATTGAGATTATTTATGGAGGATGTAAATGAGAATTGATCGACAGCTTTAAACCCGAGCTCTCTGGGCGTGAAGTGTCTCTGCTCAAGGGCACTTCAACGGTTTGTGTTGACAGCAGGGGGAAGCGTTACTCACGCTCTTCACCCACAGATTATGATGCATAGGCAACACTTCAACGTGACACATGTATAGGAAGGAGAGGCAAGTGGGACGGGGATTAAAGAGCAGAAACAGATGGGTGGACTGAGATAGAGAACGGAGAGAAACAACAGATCTATGAAGAGGAGGAGGAGAGAGAGGATGTGGAACAGCTGCCTCAGAAATAAAAGCTGCTGAAGAAGCCAATCCACAGGTTGTTTAATAGAATTATTAGTCTGTAACAGTTTGACTGGCAGTTTGACTGATAACACAAATAACTGACTCGAAGCCGGCGGCTCTTTTTGTCCCTGCAGGGGTTTTTGATATCAGCTGCAGGACTGGATCACTTTAAATCCCTCGCGGGGTTCAGGAAACACCGGCAGCCCCCAGAGGAGGTTTCTGTGGGTTCGTGGCAGAGCGACAGAGAGACAGAGAGAGAGAGAGACAGAGAGAGAGACAGAGAGACAGAGCTGACTGTTTCCTCCAGACCTCTAACAGTCGTCTGTATCTGAACCACCACTGGCTCCTGTCAGACTGTCTTTAAAGGACTTTAGATTATTTGTTGGCACTAAAATGAAACCTCCAGCTTTGAGGTTTTGAAGCCGCGTTTATCTTTCTGTTTTCCTTATCAATGACTTCCATTAAACTTTCAGGCGTCCTGGAAAACCTGGAATACTTGGAAAATTAGAAACTAGTTTTCAGGTGATTGAAATTCATTAAAATGACCAAATATCCTGAAAATAATCTCTGTTGTGCTGGAAGATGTAAAATGTACCGTAGCCCCTCACTCGCCAGGGTGTGTAGTTTGTTGTAGGAGGACCTGCAATACTTCAGAGCGAGTTTACAGACACATGGAACGTACTCATAGCCACCTCCCTGTAATGAACCTGGGGTTAAATGTGTCGACCTGTCGCTGAATCATACTGCCAGGAAAACTTACAGGAAGAGGATTTATTTAAAATAGAGGGAACCCTTCTTCTGTTGAGCTGGTGAAACTTTACATTGAGAAAAGTTTCTCGTTCCTATCTGGACAGATTGAGTTAACAGACGACAGAACGTGTTTCAGGCGAGATTTAAAGTTTACAAAAGTCAATTCTGATTGAAGGTTTCAGTTTAACTTCGGCTCTCGGTTCGTCCTGGATTATTGATTCTCAGGATTAATCCTCATTGATTCAACCATCACGCCACTGGGCATGGTTGCTCTTCTTCCTGTGTGCG